ACTGGGAGTAGGAGATGAAGATGACTCTACATGCTAAAGATAATGAACCGCTTGCACTTTTAATTTGTGATACTTGTACAGTTCAGCCAAAAAGTTCCTGAGTTTTTGTCACATGACTGTTGGTTCCAGATGAGCCACTAACGGCATTTATGAGCGCAACATTTTCAGTTTTTTTTATTATTATTATTTTTTTGCAGGATGTAGTGCAACTGCTTTATTTTTATGACTTGCATGGTTGGATCCAGGAGGACAGATTTCTCATTTTTTATTTTATTTATTTATTTATTTATTTAATGTTTTACTTTTTTACAGACTCCAGTTATTGTAATAAGTTTTTTTTTTGATTTTCAAATCAGACATGTAGAAAAAAAAGTGTTTTGGTTGAAAACTTTAAGCTTTTTTTTTTTTCCAGTTATCCAATAGATGGACATTAGTTCAACCAAGAGGCTTCATTATGTGTTTATGGTCGTACTGTGTGTATATGGAATTCATTGAAACAATATTTTCACCGAGGTTAAACAAGAAATGTGTCTTTTCTTTCTCCTCCTCAGTTCCGCTTTCGGCTCCTAAGAACCTGCGCGTGTCAGAGGAATGGTACAACCGCTTCAGGATCAGCTGGGATGTTCCACCTTCACCCACCATGGGCTACAGAGTCGTCTACCAGCCCCTCTCAGGTGATCTACAGAAAGCAGTCAAAGATTTGCTAACGCTTCCCCGACATGCATATAGAAGAATATCGATGGAGGACATTAGAACACCAATCAGCAGCCACCGATGCTAAAAAATGAAGAAGTGCCAAAAACTGCAGTTCTTCGGATGGCCACCAGAGGCTCCAAAAGCGAGTCAGTCCCCATAGACCTTCCTGTTAAAATGTCCAACTTAACAGCAGAAATAAACACGTTTAAAGCCTCGTACCAAAAGCTTCTCTGGACTCTATAGTTAACTTTTTTCATAGACAGTTGTACAGGGAGTGAAGATATATGCATCTTAGCCATTTAAGGCTTAAAATTATGCATAATTAAGGACATGACAGGTACAAAAACAACAAATGTAATTATGCAGTGCAATAAATTACTGTGAAAATACAGCCAAATTGTGTCAGTAGTGTACTGTAAACTACAGTACACACAACTTACAGTACATTTTGATACATTTCTACGGTGGCCGATGGGGGCAAATGACAAGCATCAACAGAAATGCGCTGCAAACATGCAAATGTGCTGCAAAAGGAAAACGCTGCATATACAGACGCGCTGCATACATGTAAACAAATGCAAAAACAAAATGCTGCATATCCAGTCACACAATGGAAGTGCAACAGGCCTCTAGGGGCAGTTTTCAAGCTTTTCAGTAACTGTGATTATATGGGTGCTGAAGTGGTGTTTTACTACCGCCGCCCTGTGTTCTCTCTGTTTTTTTATGTTTATCCATGGAGACGAGACAATACAAACCTTTCCATACAGCTTTTCCCTGAACTAACGTTACTCGTCTCGCCCACCGTTGTCTGCCTCTCAGGTTTAAAGCTCTCTACTGCCCCTAGAGGCCTGGGGCACTTCCGTTGTGTGGCTGGATGTTCTTTTTGAATTTGTTTTCATTAGTGCAACACAGTCATGTACATGCAGCTCGTTTGTGTACATGCACGTAATTTGCCCCCGTCGGCCACCGCACCGAAAAACCAGAATGACTGCAGGCTCTTGTAAAAACTGCAGTAATGTGTTTTGAACAAGAAAGCTTCACAGATCAGTTCATAAAGCATTGTTTAGACAATGTTATTGCTAACTTTACACTGAGGCCGTTTTCTAAATAATTTATCTCATAAAATTAAATACATTTTCCCTCATTTCTAAATTATATTTAAACAACTACAGTTTGTCTTCTATTGCTGCCTTTGAGTGAATTCTTAAAATAATAATTTGCCTCATTCTTTATCCTTTTTAAGCATTTTAAGTGCTATATATATATTTTAAAATGGCAAACTGAGTTGGTAGAGCTTAATTCTGGATCATAAATATTGAAAACACATTAGTATCTCAGTAAATGTCTGCGAAACACAGTTTATACATTTTAGAAGAAGAAACACAGTATATTATTGGAACGTTTAGTTATAGTATTTAACAGTGAATCTCATTTTCTTCTGTTGAAACTCTGTTCAATTATAGAGCAATTAGCTGTTCATAATTTACAATCCTTCAGCATAAAAATGTAATATTTTAATTTAAATTATTCTACAGGTAATGACATTGTAATGAAATGTCTTTGTAAACTGCAAAAATAAAGATAACATTTATAAAAATACCACCTCTGCCTGTACAAACATACAGATGAAGTGAGAACACGAGTGGACATGAATTATTCAAACACAAATAATAATCCTAAAGCTTCTTCTCACAACATTCACCATGTGTGGTCTGGTTTTCCGTCATGCGGATTCTCTTTCCTGCCAGAGCAGAAGCTAATGATCACCTCTGAACCGGCCGCTCTGTGTTCATTCTATCACTGATGTGTCTTCTCAATTATCCCACCGCCCTGCAGGCCCCGGACGGGCCCTGGAGACCTTCGTGGGGGAGGACGTGAACACCATGCTGATCGTCAACCTGCTGAGCGGGACGGACTACAGCGTCAAGGTGATCGCGTCCTACACCACCGGATCCAGCGAGGCCCTGTCAGGGAGAGCCAAGACCTGTGAGTCCATCATCCGCCTGTTTGGTTTCACGTCGCAGCTTCAACCACGTCCGTTTAGCTCCTGACAGATGATCAACCCTCACTTTGATATTTAAATCAGTCAGGAGACTCGGTATTTTCTATAATATTGTAGGGATTTAATCGTAATGTTTAAATGAGTCAGATAGATTATTATTTTAATTACTATTGTAGAGTTTTACCCTTAATATTGAAACTAGTAGCATATTTGCATAATAGGATTTTACCACTAATACATACTGAAGTCAGGTTAATTTGTGTTTTAATTTCTATTGTCAGGTAAATTTAGATAATAAAAATATTGTAGGACTTTAGCCTTAATATTTATATTAGTTGATTACATTTGTATTTTACTTGCTCAAGAAATTGGTCAGATAAATGTGCATAATAATTAAAATTATAGGATTATAACCCTAATATTTGATTCCAGTGAATAATATTTCAGCGTCTTATGTTTTAATTAGTCCAGTAAATTAATCTTTTAAATAATATTGCAGAGTTTTAATCTTAATATTGAAACTAGGCATAGATATTTATATAATTTGTGAGACTATAGCATATTAACATTAATATATAATTAAATTGGTATGTTGACATTTTTGATTGTTATTATTGGGTTCTAACCATAATATTGAATTAAATTAAACTAAATTTGCATATTAAATATTATTGTAGGGCTTTACCCTAAACATTTAAATTAGTTGATTAAATTTGTATTTTAATTCCTGTAGAAATTAGTCAGGTGAACGTGAAGATTTAAACCCTAATATTTCATTTAGCTTAATGTTTAATCAGGTTTTAATTAGGAAAATTATAATAAATATTATATAAGTGTAATATTGTAGAGCCTTAGCCGTCATATTTGAAATGAATCCGTTAGATTTGTATTTAGTATAATTTAAATTTGTACTTGAATTATCGTTGTAGGTTTTAAATCTTATTTTATTTATTTGTTAACCCTGAATATAAGTTAGTCAGGTAAATGTTTACAGTAAATAACATTGTAGGGTCTTAAGCACAATATTTAGTCCATTAATTGATATTTTAATTATTATTGTAAGGTTAGCTTAACATTAACGTTGTGTTTGCGTCATAAATAATCCAACAGGATCTTTACATTGTTATATATTACTACATTTAATTAATTTTAATTGTTATTTTGGGGTTTTAATCTTCATGTATACATTTATAATCTAAATTTGTATAACAAATACCGTTAAAGGGTTTTCACCTTAATGTTGAAATTAGTCAGATAAATTGATATTTTTATATAATATTATAATGGTCCTAACTTCAGTATTTAAATTATTTAGGAAAATATGCATAATGGATCATTTTGAGGTCTTAACACTGATATATAATTTAGGTATGTATTTTTTCTATTAATTTGATAACAGAGTAGGTTCTTAACAATATTTAAAATTGATGGTTAAACTAATAATAGCATTGTAATTATTTTTTTAGGGCTTTAACTTGACTATTTTCTGTGGACTTCTGTCAGAGCACTTGGTAAACTATCATTTTTAAAAGTGTGTTATACTAAATGAAAGCTACTAATATTGATTCTCATGCATTTTTACACAGTTGTGCTGGATGTGGATACAATACACGTTTTCAGCACAACTAACTTAGAACGTAAAAAACAACAAAATAATAATAGAGAGCAACCTACACAAGGTGCTTTTTCAACCTGTTGGCGGGTGTTAGGGTTCAGAGTGTTAAAGATATATTAAGGAAAGCATCATACATTTGTGAACTTTTTTCCTCCACAGAAGCACGTCTGCAAGTTTTAATTTGGATACATCTGATAAAAACTCAGCTGCAACACAATGAGATCTCATTTTCTGACTTCTATCAATTCATATTTGACCTTACTGCTGCCTCAGAGTTCCCATATCTGGTGTTCGTTCTTCACAATCGACACTACAAACCGAATGGCATCATCTCTCATAGCAGTATAAGCAGCACCTCTTCTTCCTACAACGGCCTGAATGTTGGTTTGAGATGATTTTCTGCTGGACCTCCATGTGCCAGACAAATCTGTGATACAACTGCAAACCATCTTTTAAATTGAAAAACTTTTTTTTACACCAATTAGAGCAGACAGACGGACACATCAGTCATTAACTCCTCGATGCCCATCTGCTCTTAGCAGCGGTCTCGGCTAATTACAGGATGCGCTCTTTAAAACTTCATTGTGTTCAGAACCTCTGATTAAACGACGTGGATGGAGAAACTTTTTTTAGACACAATTCGGCTGCAGTGAATATTGAACTGAAACACCTCAAATCACAATTAAATATTTTCCTTAGACCAGCCAGCCCGATTGTGAAATTTCCACTAAAAAGCAATGATGCAGCGACTAGAGAACAAGAAGATGTCAAGTGTTGCACCGGATCAGTTTGAGGAAGAAATGGTGCTGAGGTTGACGGAGGAATGGATGTGGAAGGAGAGGGGACGCCGTCAGATCAACCAGATGGCAGCTGGTGGTGCAGTTGTGACACATAAAAAGGAATTTATGTCTCCACTGTGGAAAGTAGTCCCACTTTAGAAGCTTGTTTTACAATCACGATTACTAGGAGTTATAAATAAATGTTGCTGTTTTATGAGGCAAAACATGGAATTCTAAAGCTGATCTATGACCTGAACGTTTCACTTTGAAGGTTGAGGAGATCAGGAGAAATCTAGGAAATATCCCAAAACCTATTCCATCACTGCATGACTCACACTAACAGCAGGTAGAAGCAGATGGAAGTTTTTTTTAGCTTTAAGCCTCTGAAAACGGTTTCTGGTTGTTTTTTTATTTGCTCCTGTCATAGTTTTACTGCATCATAAAGCAACAACTTTTTTTGTTTTTTACAGAATCTGTTTTGAGGAAACTGTTTATTTTCGGCCGGTTTTTACGTGAGATATGTCCAATGAAGTGATTCGGAGGAAATATCACAATTTAAAGTTTTCATATGGAACCACATGTCACAGACGAGCAGCTGGAGTCAGAAATCACACAATCTTTCCATTTTTACTATTTGTGGCGACTAAATGCTGTATTTCTGCAGTTCTTTTAAAAAAGTAATAACCGTTGGGATTTCATAGTGTTAATATGCAGTATCACCGGTGTGGTGTTTTGAAGATCATTTCAAAGGACCGACTTATTTCAGCTCCGATCCTGAATCAGCTTGATGTAGTGACTCTCTTCATGCTAATGGCACAACCCTGAAGCTTTGTGCGACAGCGGTACCTTCAAAGTTTCCTCTTTTGCAAATTTCTTTGTCGTTTGAAGGTAAAACAACATCCAAACTTCTACAAGTATAGATTGTAGTAATACTTTCCCCACATCTTAATGAATTCTCATCAGACCAGTATTTCTTTGGACTGGTCATTCTCAGAACATTTTCTTCTGTAGCTTAGTTGTTTGGTGGCTATTTTCCAGCCCTGATCATTGATACAGCTCGGTATCGGTGTCCTTTGTCCATTCCACCTATTTGAATGCAAGTGAATAAAACAATCCGTTTTAATCTAATCAGAGGAGCAGCCAGACACCTGCAGACGTCAATATCTTGATGTCTGTCTGAGACTTTTAATGGCAACGACACCTAATTACATCCCAGCCCTGGAATGAACCGTGGATGCGATGGATTTAAGTTATCTCGCAAATGGCCATGTGGACACTTCCTAAAGCTCTTCGAGTGTCTGGCCCCGTTCAATCAATCAGCGCTTTCCAAGTACAATCATTTGAGCAGGAGCCTGGATTTCCCTCTCCTGCATGATAATTAACCACTTCACCGCAGGCTGGCCTATTGGTGAAATAGCCCTTTTTAAAAAAACCTGAAAAGTCTCCTGGTTTGATCTCCATGACAGCCAAAGCGGCCAACAAAAAAAAACCGTGTGTCCTTTTGAAGTGTCCCTGAGCAGGACACCAGGGCCTCCACCCTTTCATCCGTTCTCATTTCTCTGTGGGTAAGAGCTCTCAATACAAGTGTCAGCTAAATAGCCGAACATGCAGCTTTAAATGGAGCATGTCACTTTGCATTGGAGCCACAGTTTCCGCCACCTGCATGACAATTAAGCACTTCTTGGTTGAACTGAAGGACAAATTTGGAAAAGAAAAGGAGGGGAGAAGAAAATCTGAAGAAGATGGAGAGACGGGTTGAGTTGAAAAGGGAGCGAGATGATGAGGCCAGCGGGATCCCAGGAGGTGACTGGAGCGTCTGTCATATTGCTCAGCAGCATGTTAATGAAGCCCATGGACCAGCAGAGATGTGAGGGACGATGCCTCAATGTCACACACCAATCACAGTGGTGCTCTGGGTTTTCCTGTAATATCTTTTCACTTGGCTTTTGGTTAAATGTTGTTGCCATGTTTCATTTCGGTCCCATTTTCTTTTTTTTAAAAAGCCAGTGCACGGGGTGATGAGGTGGTCATTGTGATCCCGTTGTCCATTTCACACATTCAAATCGCTGGGCTGAGAGACAGACAAATCTTGCGACGTTTAGTCTTCTCTTGCCGAGTGAAAGCAAACCCTCAATTGATTCCATCGGCTCTCATCTAGTGTAGAGAGGTTTAAGTGATATCCGAATAATATCTGGTATTTATTGAGCACTTTTTGAAATCTGTGCTTCATAAGGAAAGCAAAATATAACAGACAAGTCATACAGTCGTAGGTTCCACTATTGCGACTGTGGAGGGAACCCCGACAGCAGAGGTCACTCAAAGAACCCCTTACACAGATTCTTCAAGGAACCATTTTGTGCAGTTTGTTGTTCCATTTTTAACAAATTAATATTGTTTTTGTCATTAATAGCTATATGATAGGTTCATAAATAAATCTCTTTCCCATTTAAACAGAGGCAGTTGCATTAGTGTTGAGTTGCCGAAATATACAAGTTCTTCAGTATTTTTATTCTTTTTATTTTTATTTATTTATTTGTTAGTGTCAAAAAATATATTCTCTCTTTTGTGTTCTAAATATAACCCCTGCCACAGCAGCAACACTGAGTTCTGGCTTTTTTCCCCCCGGACCCTAACAGAATATGTACCGATTGTTTATACATATTAGTATATTTTGCAGCTATTTAAAAAAAAAAATTAAAAAAGCTTTTATACTGAACCAAAATACCAGGCCTATAAAAGTGTTCATCCCCCTTGGAAGGTTTCCACCATTATTGCTTTTCAACACTGAGTCATGATGCTGCCACCGCCATGCTTCAGGGTTTGGTGTCTACAAACGTAGCATCTAGTCTGATGGCCAGAAAGCCTCATTTTGGTCTTATCCGACTGAAGAACCTTTTTCCTGTTGACTTCAGATTCCTCCTCATGCCTTCTAGCAAACTCTAGTCGAGGTTTAATTTGAGCTTGCTTCTTGCCGCTCTCCCATAAAGCTTTGACTGGTTTGCACAGTCTCTTCCATCTGCTCAAGCTTGTAACCGATCTAGAGGAGTCATAGGTGTTTTGGTGGTTTTTAATATTTTTTTTTTGATCAATTCTTGTTAAAAAATTTTAAAAAAATGAACAAACAAAAGAACAAAGAGCTAATTAAATCTACAATGTTGAAAAGGGGATAACTTCCAAGGTGTATAAATACTTTTTTTGGTACCAATAAAGTAATAAAATAAAGCAAGTGTTGTTCCTTTATCATTAAATAAACCAAAGCATTCATATTATGCACATTATGGAATACTGCGGTGTACACAATTACAATAAAACTACATCTGAGAAAAAAAAAAACAAAAGAAACAAAACATATAGTAAACTTAGATTTTAAGTGTGAGCTTGGCCCACACATAATTCTACCAAGATGAAGGTTCCTATTCCCCCAAGCAAGTATGGCTCCTTGAACAATCCCATAGCTCCTTGAGACTCTCCCAATTCTCAGACCGTGTTTGAAAGTCCTGTGGTTTATGCCTCCTGCAGCCATCCAGTATCCTTATGTGGACTTCATGCTTTTTTTTTTTTCTTCAACATGTAAAGTAAAAGAAACCCGCAAGTCCCGTTACGTAGAAACAGGCCACAAGATGGAACAGGCCTAAAGAACATCAGCATCTCACAATTTTGCAGCCTTTATTTATTTCTTCTTTAAATGTGTTTTTGCAACGTTCTGTGCAACTTCCAAACCACAAACCGCCAAAGATAGAGCAATCTCCACTTTAATCAGCCTGCCCTCCTTCTTCCTGTGCTCATATGGATTTGGGTGGCTGCAGGATTGGCACATTAAGCCCTACGTCTTTGCACCTCGCCACAACCTTCCTGGAAGATGCTGCAGCATTCTTAAAATCCCCTCCAGTGCATTCTTTCCTTGAGCATATCCATGTCCAGGAGGCATCTGTGTTAGACGCCAGAACAACCTCAGCTTACAACACAAAGTAGCAGCGGCTGTACATCCTTTTGGGTGTCTGGGCTCTTCGCTGCACCTCTCAGGGATCTTCTGCGCACATTGGGATGGTCGGCAGCCGGGCAGGAAGCGATGCAGAAGCCTGAGGCTGCTCTGCTGGTTAAGAAAGGTGGACTTGCTTCTTTGGGATTGGGAGTTTCTAACTGTCCAAATGAAGCAGCGATGGTGAGGTGGAGTTTAGCAATGCCACATCAGCAGAAAAACAGACACTGAAGCTGTGGAAATGCGTGTTAGAGACAGTCACTACATAAAAGTCAAAGCTGATGAAACCACCAATAATTCCCTTAAGACATGATCAATAACAGCGTTCCCAGGCTACTGTGATATTACACCCCCTCCCTTCTCCTGTCCGCTCTATGTTGTGGAGATGCTCAATTAAGAATCCCCTCGTGTCTTCTCATTAAATCGCACGGTGAGATTTTTACTCAAGTGTTATGCAGAGATGCATTATGCATTTGTATGGAGTTCAAAATAATGCAGATTAGATATTTGGCTCAACTGGAAATGCTCTGTTTTGTCAGAGGGAATGTAAAATATACTGGGATGTACAAGGCCATTACCAACTCACAGAAACATGTATGCTAATGTCTCTCGACTCCGAACAAGTGATGCTTTCAAAAGCACGGACGATAAAAGCGCATATACATTCCATTTGCATAAGTAGAGAGTGTGTGTGGGTTTGTTTGGGTGTGTGTGCATAAAGCCATACTTCTGGAGCAAAGACAGAGCAGCTATATTTCTCTCTGCGTCTGTAAATAACTTCATGAAAATGCACTTTTGTGTCCTTGAAACCAACCGGCCATACGCTTTTAAATCTGTCATCTGGAAACTGGATGGCGTGCGGTCTCTCAGATGTGAGCTCGCTGCGGTTATATATAGCTTTGTTTTTATAGCAGCGTGTGGAGAAGAATGCTTGCAGCTCTCTAATGTATATTTTTAGGGCTCCAGAAAAATAGTTTTTTAAATCTCAGCATTGCTATTGTGAGGATTTTAAAATGTAGGCAAACGAAAGGAGTTTGCGTGAAAAGGAAAACATTTGTCCTAACTGTTGATGTGCAAAATCAAAGAGAAACTTGCCACTGCAGAAGCCTTTCTGTCTACTTTGAGGAGCTCCAAGCGGTTTCTGGGGTTTGTGATTTTTTGCACTGCAACATAAAGTCCTGCACCTCTATGGAAACAGCACAACCATGACTAAGAGTAGAGAGAACTCAGACACATCTACGATACAATACAACTAAGTTATGGCATAAATCGTAAAGTAAAAGAAAATTGAATATCTTTGGTTATTTCACAAAAATGTAAAAACCTGGGATCAACATTTTGTACAACATTTTTCCACAAGTGTCCACATGTGTTACAAATGCTGTAAAGAAACTGGTGAGTCTACGTACAATAAGTATTTTCAGTTTGTAGTTTGTTTAGATGCTTGTCTTCTCTCTGCTCTGTGTGAACAAAGCCGGCAGCCCAACCGAGAAGTCACTCAACTTTTGTCACACAAGTGGCATCACTGTTGCACTTTTTTTTTTTTTCAGCGCAAACTACATTTTTGGTGAGTTTTTTTAAATGGGACGTAGATTTTTATGACATGTCATGATTTTAAGCTTAGATTTGGATCTTTTTTTTTTACAACCAAACCACACCAACACCAACAACTAGTTCAGGGACCATAAAGTTTAATATGATTCTTTCTGTTTTTTATAGCTTCTGCTTTTAATAAAGGGTGGAATTTTGATCATTTAAAGCATTTTTAATTTAAAAAAATAAAATCCTGGATCACGAATGGCTTCCTGGTTATGCAGAGGAGCACGGAATGCTTTTTGTTTTTTACAGAATTTGGTCTGATTTTTTTTTTCAATAAAACTTAAAATTAGTTTTTCCGCCTCACAGATGAGTAGTTCAAGGACAATTTGAAAGTTCAAAATCCACAAATTCTTTCTGTACTGTCACTTTTTTTGTTAATTTGTTTCTCATGCTGGCAGTTTTTTGGGGGTTTGAAAGTATACCATCTACAGAGTCTATTTTTTTTCATTATGTGGACTTGAACACATCGCTCAGGCTCGAGGGAGAATTCAAGAACAGAATCATTTTTCTGGATCTAAATGTGTCAATAACTCACACTTCTTAGAAGATCTGCTCTCCAAGGAAAAACACTCACACAATTCTCCCTGTCCTTCCTGCAGTGTACCTGGGGGTGACCAACCTGAGCACCTACCAGGTGAGGATGAACAGTTTGTGCATCCAGTGGCAGCCTCACCGACACGCCAACGCCTACAGAGTGGCCCTGGAGTCGCTGGTCGGTGAGTACATTAAAAGCAGCTTATTAGTGCCTACACCCTATACCCCATTCTCCACATCTGTCCTGTTTACTACAAGTGGAAAGACCAATTCACAAAACTGTTAGCTGGAGTTCTGCCTGGGACTTTTATTGCACCGTGGGTTTATGTTCAGTTCAGCATTTTCCTTTCTATTTCTTCCACTCTAAGCCAAAACATATGTCAGTATTTCTAATTACATTTTAAAGCCCAGCGAGTGAACCTCCTTTCAGGCTCAGAAAATCCTGAGAATAAGACGGAGTTTCCATGAGAAGCTCGGAGCACCTTGAGTGTGCCTGCAAAGCCGCAGTGACCAGAGATTAAAGCTTCAACTCGAGGGGCGCTCAGCCTCCCTACATCCATCTTCCTCTTTCCTTTGCTCCATTAATCTTCCAGGGAAGCATCCTTACATCCTCAGCCATAAACCATATTTTGTGTTGGGAGTCTTAAACACCGGAAGACAAACAGATCTAACCCCATCATGAAGATGTTTCTTCTGCACAGTATGCTCGCACACACATTCTTAACTGACCGTTCCTAATAAAATAAACCAACTCTGGAGCAATACCACAATAAATCTGTTCCCATTTCGTCCCCCACGTGTCGCTCTCCAGGAAGAAGGACCATCCTTGTTAGTGGACAATGTGGCTCTTTGAAGGATTGCCACTTTAAACCCTCCCCACTCCTCCTCTGCTCAAATGAGTTACATCCATTCTCGGTAATGTTTTTATGTAATTGCCTGTCTTCATAATTTAAACAATGAGTAAAATACAATTTCACTCAGACTCTTAACTCCAGAATAATTGCAGCTGTAATGCAGCAATTCGAAAATATCAGACGTTTCTAAGGATGCTCCGATCAAGGTAGTTTTAATTTAATCTGCCCAAACCCGATAACATTTTACTAGATGATACGCACTTTTATTTATAGTATTTTTAGATTAGCTTTACCACCTGGTTGCACCACGACCAGGTGAATTGAGAAGGCCGACAGTTTTCTGGCCGATACCGATATCCGATATGATAAGATTTTTGATATCGCTGATAACCGATATTACCGATGTTGATATTCAATTTTTGTTCACACCGAAAAATGAATATAAGTAACACTGTGAGAACATGAAAACTATTCAAAAGAAGCCCAAATTAGACCACGTAGTCTCCTTTATTATGTAACAAAAGTAAAACGTATTTCAACACATTTTAACATATTTAACGTTTACGTCCAGAACCATTTAAGTAAAAACATCTGTGAAATAGCAGCAAGATCAAATGTAGAGACGAAGGCGCTGATGTTTCACAGCAATCGATTTTTCACATCGGCTAAATTTGTTCATCGGACCGGTACCGATATATTGAAAAAAACACAAATATCGGCCGATACCAATGCGGTTGCCGATACCGATGTGGTTGCCGATACATCGCGCGTAAATTTTGTGCAAGTTTAGCTCGTAAAGGGGGCACCATGACACAGTCTTCTGTGATGCTTAACGACATCAGTGCACATGTTTGAACTCAAGCTGGGATTACCAAGGACAGCTTTCTTGTATCCACTTGGCATATTTAACAGCTGCATTAGGGGCCCCTAGCCATTGTCTGTGGTTCAAAATAGCAACATCAGCACAGGACAAATGCCCAGCGTGCTCATTTTGTATTATAACCATTATAGACTAATAGTGCTGCATTTATCAAGAAAACTGCTCAGATTTTTTTGACATCTGCATGACAGTAAATGTGAATGTCAGACTGGTAAGTTCTGGTCTCAGGATCAGGATTGAAACATCTCCGCTTTCTACTGTGAACAGGATTCCGTTAAAGCCGCCTAAAACTCCCACAGAGGCCTCATTTTGTCACATAACTAAATGTAAATCGGTCCGATACTGTGCTAAAGCAACGTGCATGTCGACTTTTGCTAAATGCTATTTGACTACACGCAGACCCACATGAGACGAGCTCGCTAACTGTTGTATTAAGCGAGATGTTGGAGTGAAACTTGGGCGCTAATTCGATGGTTTGAGCAGAATATATTAAATTACACCGTGTCTACATCGTGCGAGCTAGTTTAATTATTTCCTGCCATATCTTCATTAATGACTGTGTCTACTTCAACACTGTAGAATGTAAATTAACTCTCATTTAATGTAATAATTACAAAGGCGGGTTCATGCTTATGAATTCATCCATATTAATGTTTTCTCCTCCTTCAGTAGCAGCATGACAACACCAGTCCTATATTTGATACGCTAGAGAGAGTGCATTTATAGAAAGGTGTTGTCGTCATTAGCTGCCACATTCAGAGCAGGGGATTGTCAGATAAAGTCCTGCACCTCTGTGGAAACAACACAACCATGACGAGTAGAGTTCTCTGGTAGAGAGAACTGAGAAATGTGTCTTCTGTGAAAATGACGGTTATGATGCCATAATTCATAATGATAAGTGGAGTTTCTTTAACTATATGTTTTACAAAAAAAAATGGAATCAACATGATCAACATTTTTCCAAGTGCCCTTTAAGTGTGACAAATACTGACAAAAAGGTGGCGCTACACGCTATAGATGTTTTACTACTTATGTTGTTTCCATACAGGTCTGTTTAAACAAAGCCTGCAGTTCAGACGAATAGTCCCTGAATGTTTGTCAGTTTTCACCGGAGCAAAAATTTGAAATCAAATTAAAAGAATCTAGTGCAGATGGTTTATGTTTGTAGAATTTTTTAAAAGACTTTTAAGTCATTCAAGATTTAAAAGCTTAAAAACAACAACAAAAATAACGCTAAAAGCAACAATTATAGGAACAATAACAGCAACAATAATAACTCCCTGATATAGTCAGAGTAGTTCAAGGATCATCAGAAAGTTGAAAATCTGAAGATTCTTTCTGTTTTTACACGTTCTTGCTCTGATAAATGGAGTCATTATGGTGATTTTTTTTCCTTTTAAACCCACCAGCAGGTTTTAGGGTTCAAAGGGTTCATAAGTTGGGTTAATAAGTGAAAATATAAACAGTCAGTGACTGAATGGAGCATCTGAACAATATAATGGAGACATGTTTGGAGCTGTTGTAAGGTGTCAGCATGTGCTTTGCAGGCACTCAAAGTGAAACTGATTCTGAATGGAGGAAAGATGGTACACAAGCTGATTTCACAAGATTTTTGAGATTTTTCTGTAATTGGTGATGCGTTTTTAAAAAAAAATGTATATATTTTTATTTTAATCGTCTTAGCCGCATGACAGCTAAGACACGTGGACCTTTACTTATGAGGTAGATGTATGCAAATGGAAGTAACACGCATGCTCTCTGGATTATCAGGTGGATTTTAAGGCGACAAGTTTATTACACGTGACTGTGCATCACTGCTGCTACATAAAACTCAGCTGTAATTCTACTTTGCAGACTTTCACATTGGGCTCCTATCTGCTGCATATCTGCACCAGTAGGTGGAGGGGAGGGCTCATTCATACTCGCATACTTCCATTAGTAGGAGTTTCAGTATGCAGCGCAGAGAAAGGGTCCAATTTTATGAATCCCTAAGCAGCCAGAGATGACAAAGATATTGTTGTATCCCATCAGAGACGCGCTGACAGTCTCAAAGGTTCGGCTGTGCAATCAGACACTGAGCCGCTCTGTAGGAAAAGGAAAGCTTACAGATGGCAGTGCTGCTGACATTTACATTTGCTGCGTGAGGTAAAATACAGGAAAAAAAAAAAAACACAGACAAAAGGTTGGTGGTGTGGTTGCCACGTGATGAGGTGTTCTTGTTACAGGAGTGACAGTAATTACACCTTGTTGTGACTATTCTGAGAGGTAAAGCTGGAAGGAGAGAACATGCAGGATCACTTTCTTCTCGTGAAGGTTTCTCTGATTGTAAGAAGATTGTTTCTTTGAAAGCCAAGAGCTTCTATTTGAGGTTTATTGTGTGTGGGAGTGTGAAAATGCAGTGAAGGTTGTCACAGCCATGAGTCACCGCACACTTAAATGACAATCAAAGTATATCGAAAGTTACTTTTGAAATGTCGTCTTCCATGATCCCCAGCACCATTAGTGGAGTCAATACTTATAGAATCATGTTTGTTTATAGCCTACCGGTGACTTACCGTGTAGCTGACCACGCTGTCACACAAGTTTATGGCTGTATCAGAAAACATTTCTCTGGCTTTAACATATTTTTTGTGATTTACTTAAAAGGAGCCAAGTTTTTTTTTTTCTGTCAAGGAGAAAAAAAGCCTTTATTTGTCACAGTGCATTGTTAGCAGGTTGGAATCAGAGCATAGGCTCAGCCATGATATGATATTGGAGCCATGATATTTCTTGGAGCAGAAAGGGTTAAAGGCCTTAAGTGGCCCAACAGTGACGACATGGGCCTTGACCTGCCGTCTGATCAGTAACCCAGATTCTGAACCACTGAGCCCCCACTTTCCAGATAACAAGAACGTGCAGTTCTTGGCAGAATTGCAAGCGTGATTGCCGAAAGCTGCTGCGCCAGAGCTTGTATACTTCACCACATACACAAAAGAAACCTGGTTTCAGATCTGTAGTAATTAAAGTGTATGTACAATTCAGCGATTGTCTCCTCTAGAGCTGCAAGAATGAATGCATTAATCCATTTAGTTATTAGATATTAACCTTTCGAACACCAAAACTCGCTGGTGGGTTTGAAAGGCATGTAATTTGTAGAAAACTCACCAAAAATAAATCATAAAAATGTAGCCAGAAGGACCTGTAGGGATTGTCTGCTTTTTAACTTTCCAACAGTCATTGAACTTTCAGTAAATTAATTAGATTTAAGCCTAAAATCGTGACATTTAATGAAAATCACAGCCAATGCAGAGACTCAGGGCCATGTGCACGGCATTCTGTGAAAAAAAAGCAATGACAAAAACAATGAGGCACTTTGTTCTCAATATTGTGGGGAAAAACGGTGGTTCTCCATATTATAGATATTGTACTACTTTCATACTCACCTTTCTTTCTGCTCTGTGTAAACGCAGCCTCCAGCTCATCC